TATGTATGGATCATGAGATAAAAAATCTGCAATAAAAATAAAGTTAAAATTACGACCACCAAGTGAACCAAAAAAACACGTATACAAAATTTAAAAAAAGTTTTAGACTTAAAACTTTATTTAATCAAAATATATGCACTTCTATAATTTTAATAAAAACACTCTCACAGAATATTAAAAAAAAATCGAGAGACTTATTTGATCAAACCACATGCATTTTGATAACTCATCTACTTGTATAATATTCCCAAATAATGGGTTTATGGGTTCAACCAAATGATGGATTTAATAATTGATTCGACTAAATAATGGTTGCGAAATAGTGGATTTGGATATTTCGAATTTAAAAGGAAAAGCTAGTGTAAAAAAGCTTGTAACTTTTACATTTCAATATTAACGCCACATTTTTTTTTAAAAGAACCGCGCGAATCTTGCTTTAGTGAAGATAGCTGTTTGCTTCCCGAAAAAAGAGAAAAAGCTTACAATAAAAGAATTTCATATCTATCTGTTATAGGGAGGAATTAAGAACCCTGATTACAAAGACTTATTTGATTCTGAAATTGGGCCACCCTTTTCTCAAATATTTACTGATAAAGATACATTGATACATTTACACAGAATTCGTAAAGATTTATTTTTCACGAAAATTATTAGAGAGACACACACAAGCTCTCCATTTTTCCAAATTTTCCTTGTTTTAATCATTTTTGTTTGATTTCTGCTTTTTGTTGAACACCATTTTTTATATTTTCGGCATATGTTCATCACTGTAAATATGAACTAATTTTATGGCAGATTTCTTTTTTGCCATGGTCATACACAAAAATTCATTGTCATCTGTCTACCAGAACGGACCGTACTACAACCACCTTGTACGCCTTATGTCAGTTCCCAAATATAACATTTTATAAATATATAAAAAAATATTGAAATTATTATCGAAATTAATATAATTAGAGGAATACGTGGCTGGTCTAGGAACAACTTCCGCAGTTTCTTTTTGATACCTTCGTGGCCTGTGCTCGCTTTATTCTATTACCAGCTGCTTGATAAACATAGAATTCTACTATTCTTGTCTAAACAATACGCTCTTACATAAAGTGAAACTGTTTGTCATTTCAGCTTTAATCGTGCAGCAAACTTACACTTAAATTATGAAAGTGGTAATACGACAACAAACTTATACTTAGGTTATGAAAGTAGTAATAGACTTAATAGTTGAAATTTATCAATTAATGACAGTATTTCATAACTGCCCACTGTTAAGCATTTAGCGTAAAATTTTATTTTTGCATTTAAATTGGCACTAAAATTTAAGCTTCTTGTTTATTTCTTGGATTTCGAAATTTCCCACTACATATAAATGGATTAGTATTTATTGAAATGTATGATAATGATATAATGGTATTTTTGAACTCTGGACAAAATAAAACAGATATTTCTGCTTTTAATTGTAATTAAATTTTTTATCTTACTACCCCTGGGAAAAACCATTCTCGGAAAGGTTAAAAATTGGCAGCTATGGCATTTTTCAATAAAAAAATTTATTAAACTTGATAAATAAAGAAAATATAATTAGTTTTTTTCCCTAAAAAAGTAATTAATTTCGAGATAGACAATAAATAAATTCTAATTAATAAATTGACGCTAACAACTCACACTTGCTATGAGCATTTATTGTCGTAGCAAGCGTGTAAACATTGCGTGTTGAATTTGCAGATAAGGCAAAAGATTTGAAAAGATAATGATTTTAATTTATGTTTCTATGTTTATTTGCTTAAACGAAGGGAATATAGCAAGTAAAAATAAATGTGTCATGTTTATTTATTTTCTTAATCAAACATATTTCAATCATCTCTATTTTGTTATGGTTTTTGTTCGACTTGAAGAATCGGATTATATTGTCAATTTATTACCTGATTCTGGACTTAATCCTTTAGGCTATTGCATACAAACATATCACCTTTATTTTATAATAGACTCTTTTTTTTCTATCTACGATTTCGCTATTGCTAACGTCAAGAAAATGTCTTTTTTCTGGAACTACTTCAGATAATTACAAATATTATTTCAAAAGAAAAAATTTCCCTTTCGTTAAATTGCGCCATTGGTTTATCGATCATCTCCATTGTATCATGTACGGCTTGTATATATTTATTTGTCAACTTTTATATTTTCGATTACTTTTAAACAATACCACTTCTTGAATTGTGAAATTTCATAGATTATGTTTTTACTACTGAGCTTATATTGAAAACTCTTAATTAACCAATAACCTTTTGCTGAATATTTTGAAGGTTTTAAAATTCAGGGGAATCGGTTTGACACATATCAATAATGCTAAAACTGACCTTTTTCGATGAACTTTTTCTAAGAAACTACTTATGATATCACCCTGAATATTATTTTATTTTTTGGATATTTGAGATTATATAATTTGCATGCCGTTATAATGCTTTAGCGTTAAAAGGAATACTTTTTAAGTTATGAAAGATTTTTGATGAAGATTTTTAAAAAAATAAAAGTTTTCAGTTCATAATTTTTTTTAAAATAATTTCCGATGTGCATTAACAGTTATCACAGTGTAAACATGTATACCGAAGAGCCATTACATGATGACCACCCTGCTAATGACATGTAGGACCACCTTTATCCCTCAAAACTGCTATAACCCGCCGTTGCATTGATTCCACTAGGTGCTGATAGGTAGTGTGAGGAGTCTGGTATCAAGCGCTCACCAACTGGTCCTGCAATTCCCTCACATTGCGAGGGGGTAGCGTGGCAGCGCGAATTTGGTTTCCAAGTAGGACCACAAATGCTGTATTGGATTAAGGTCAGGTGAATTTGGGGGTCACTGGAATGTTCCTCGACGATTCAACCCTTATGACATGGTTCATTATCCAGTTGGTAAACACCATCCCCCTCAGGAAAAACTGTTGCCATGAATGGGTGAACCTGGTCGGCAACTATGTTCAAGTAGCTTACAGACGTCAGGGATTGTTCTATGAGGATTATGGGTCCTAATGTATCCCATGAAAACATTTTTCCTGGGCAAGCCCATTGTTATAGATGGACGGTGGTCATAATGTCATGGCTCTTCGGTGCATATGTAAATAGTTTGTGGAAAAAAAACTGAAGCAATATCTTATTTAGATGCTTATAAAAGGTAAATCTGAAAGGTCAGTTTTAGTATTATTGTTATATGCCCTTCCGACTATATAATCCATCCATTCCATCAATATAATCTTTGTTCCCTGAAAATCAGCATTAAGAACAAGCAAAGTTAATAAAGAGAAGTGAAAATTAGTTTTCAATCAATATGAAAAAAAATTATTTCACATGCCTACTTTGAAAGTACTCACAAACACAAAGAATTAATAACAAATCAATCTTCAATTAGTAACAAAACCAAAAAAATAATTGAAGAGAAAATTTTTCTATTTTGATAAAATTGTTCAATTAGTTTATCGATTATCGCCGCTGAAACATTTATGGAATGTATATGTGTATCATATTTGTAAACTTCTATATTTGTTTGTGATTACGGCCTTCCAATGACGTCACTTTTGGGTAAAATACCGCTTCCTTAAAATGATATAGCAATTTTTCGTATTTTGAAACTCTAATATTGTGATTAAAATTTAATTTAATATTAATTAACCTATAAACTACTTAATATTAAATTTATTTTTCTGTATCAAAAAAGATTAAAAAAAAATTGAAATATTAATTTGATTTACGTGCACAGAAAATTGCATTAACCCCAATAATGCCTGTCCGCAAATATTGCAAAAAGTGTGTTTACGAAAAAATTGTTGTTTTCGTACATGCAAATCAAATGGATATTCCCTTCTTTTACCTACCACTTTAGCTTAGAAAAGGAACTCTGATTTTAAACACAAATATAAATCTTTATATTAATACTAAGTTTGAGAAAACAGAGATCACAGAGCTAAGTTAGTGAAAACAGTTTCTTGAAATTAATACAATTTATGAATAGCCGTGGTGGCTCAGGGAATAGAGCGCTCTTTTCTCAATAATGTCATCCGGGTTCGCATCCCAGCTATGGTTGGTCGATACGAATTCCTTATCCGGATTGCACCGACCGCAGTGGTGACAAAAATTATCAACAGTGGTAGATGAATAATGGGTTAGAGTCCCCGTGGCCGGCCAGGCTAACTGAGGGGGTTTCGTAGTTTTTCTTCTCATGTAACGTATATGTGGCTTAGTTCCATTAAAAAGTCCTCCAATAAGACAAATTTCACGCAATACTTGATCCAGGAATTCACTTGTCCTCTGGATTAGGCTCAAAATTACAAGGCTTGAGCATTGATAGTCGTAAACTCAAAATTGGCTGGACTGTTCAACGACAGTTGATAAATAAAACACTAATAATGAATTGTTTATTCTATCACTTTTTACTAATTTATCAAATAGGAACTGTCCTTTTGCAAAAGGTGTTAGACATTTAAGGTTTAAAAAATACGTAATTTATTAAAAAATGTGTCCAAATAAATAAAAATATTACACAGACCTCCTTGATAAATACACCCAAACGCGAAGAATTTGGAAAAACAGTTCTTTATTTATTTGTCAATATTAATTTATAAGAACAATATTTACAAATATTTAAAAAATACAAATTCTTACTTAGGCATTTATTCAAACAAAATATTAATCACGAAAACATAACATTTACACTGAAATATATTTTCATTCAAAGACATTTCTTCAAACGAAATATTAATCACGAAAACATAACATTTACACTGAAATTTATTCTCATTCAAAGAGAATGAAGTTTGCGTACCGAATGTAAAGAAACGCACTCAAACACGGTTTCTAACAAATCCTTAAAACGTCGCGCAAATGTCAATGTTTAAGTATGTCACGATTCTAAACCTACATTAAGAAACGTGCATTGCGTTTTCAGACAAATTACGCTTTGCCTCATCTTATAATTTCGACAAACAGACACGCAGCGCTTTTACAAATGATTCACAACATGATTATTTCGCAATCTAAAAAATTCAACAGTGATTTCAAAAACAATATCGTTTGAGGAGGCGTAAAGATTTGATTTATATCGCAATAAATGGAATTTCAATTAATCTAACTCGTAATGATCAAATGAATCAGCCGAGTAGCACAATACCATAGGAACAAATTTTTTAGAGCCGAATTTAGAGAATCACGTCTATCAAAGCGTAAGCATGTGAGTCGAATTCGCTAAAGGTTCATCTGATAATTCATAAGACCTCATATCCGCTGGCTGTGATAAGAATATTACAAAGGTTAACTGAAGGAAAAGTTATTCTAAAATAGAAATAACTTTATTAAAAATTATTAAAACGTGTGGAAAATTGCTAAGAGATCTACGACTTAGTCTACAAAACGGATTATTTTTTAATTTATTCCAATGGCTACGGTAAGTGATAATTTTTAATTAGTGTTAATTTTTTTGTGGTGTCATTGAACTAATTTGAAAATGTATTATTTATTTTACATCAATTAATAATTATTATTAATTAATGATATACATTGTTCAGTAATTATTTTTAATTAATAATATACATTATTTAGTAATTATTATTAATTAATAATATACATTAATTAGTAATTATTATTTTATATTAACTAATAATTGTATTACGTAATAATTCATAATTAATTAATTTTTGCATGCGATTTTTAACAGATTTTTGATACTTTCTTACAGCTAATCTCAAATCTAAAATCAGCTTTTCTCTCCAAGCAGGCTTTTTTTTTTATTTCAGAAGCACGGATTTTTTTCATTTAAAAAAAAATGACATTTTTAGTCCATTTCTTGTTGAAAGTGCAAATTTAAAAACGTTATATGTAACAGAGAGTCGCTTAAATATTTCATAACACTCGTTGAACAAACAGCTGACTCAATTTTGAGTTTACAATTGCTAATGTTCAATTGCGATGGCCTTGAAATTTTAAACCCAATCCAGAAGACAAAGAAACTCCTGGTTTAAGTATTGGGGGAAATTTGCCTTCGTGGAGGACTTTCTGATGGAACTAACCAGCACTTGCGTTGCATGGAGAAAAAAATCTCAGAAACCTCCCATGGTTAGCTTGACGGCAAGGAGACCCTAAGCCATGATTCGTCAACCACTGAACATATCATATTTAACGTCAGCACTGTGGTCGGTGCGAGCCTGGTGTGGAATTTGTATCGACCAGCCATCGCAGGGATCGAACCCCGGTTCACCTCATTGGTAGGCGAACTCTCTATCACCTGAGCCATCATAGGCTCTTTGCATAAATATTGTGGCACACTTCTAGGGAAGTTAAATCAGGATTAAAATGGCGAAAGAAACCAAGCCTGGAAATATCACCGTAAGCCTCAAAGAGCGCTTTATTATGAACTGTTTCATCGTATACTTCTAAACATATCATAATGGATGAACCCCTAGCTTTGTACCACGACATTTTCAGGCATGGGTTTCTGTTCAATTTTAATTCTGATGATGTAATTTGGCTCTGTTAAGCGTTTGTTGCAACATATCCCCAACCCTCTGATATATAAAATGTTTTTAAACATTTGAACGAAAAATAGACTAAAAATGACCTTTTAAAAATTTTAAAAAAATATGTAGCTTTAGGAAAAAAACAATTTCCCTCAACAGAATTTTTAATTCTCTCATCCGATTTAAACAAAACCAATTATTTGTATAAATGCAAGAAAAAATTAGTTTCCCAAAGTAATTCATTATAATCTATGTTTTCAGACCAAGAGAATAAAATTTTATTTAGAAGAATTTTTTTACTAAAGCCTCAACTCTTTACTGCTCACCAACCCTCAATCAATTTCATTGATTATACTTATATGCCTTTCAGAGTCTTCATCTTCTTCGGATTACACCAGTTACATGACCCTAAGGTGCTTTAATGGTCATCAGACGTATTTTAACGCACTCTTTAAGTATACTTAATTTATGTTTTATTCTGTATACTCTAATACGGTTCCTGTTTCAATAAAATATACATTCAGCTTAAAAAAACTACTTTAAAGCAACATTTTTATTTTGAGTGCTGATATTAGACAAATCTATTACAAAATTTAAAAGCCTAAAATTGTTGCTGAAATAAGAAACTTTATCTTATTAGATTACCATTCTTCAGTGACAGATATGATATAACCACATGCACTTGTCTGGCAATGATAGTGATAAAAGTTATAACATACATTCCAATTGTTCCTATAATTGAGAAATAACTTTTAATTAGACTTTTTAAATACGAATATTAATTTCTTGCAAAAAAAAAGTAAGACATGAAATTTTTTTACATTCAGCTNTATATATATATATATAGGTCCAACACATTTGTTTACAAGCTGAAAAAATTTTTCTATTACCAACCAATGGGATACCTGCAAATAACGTATTGCGGATCTCTTCATTATGATCGTTTGCTGAAGCGTCTCATTCGTTTACATTAGCAACTGTTCTTTCCCTTCTATTTTAAGTAAGCCAACCCCGTCAAGTATCTCTTAAGTGACACATTCTATATTCTTACACAAAGATTTCAATTCTTTCACTATATATTTCTTACTGAACACAAAGACGGTCATAAAGCCACATAGGAACGTAAGCAAACTAATTATGCATCGACGTTACCAAGTACACAAAACAGAAATATATCACAGTTACAATAAAATACATAAACAAATAATAAATCTGAGTTAAGTAAAAGATGTTGATGAGAAAAAATTTTTTTTAACAAATTCAATATACGATTCACGTTATTCTAACGTTCATTCTAACTTATGTGGAAAACTTATCTCAACTTTAACACGCGATTTTGCTTATAAACAATCAGCTGGAGCTAAGCGTCATAGGTCACATGAGCGGGTATCTGTGATCTTCTTCTTGAAGTGCAAGTACCTAATTGAACTTAGAAAAGGCAATGCGCTTGACTTTAGATCTAAATATAAAAACTTGTGTATTATTAATAAATGATGGTAGGTGCAAACTATCTTGTTTTTGTAGTATATAAATGCAAGTACTGCTCTGTAACTTTGTCCTTTAAAAAAAGAAGATACCATTTTAAAACAATATTAAACACAAATTAGTTTAATGCTTGTGAATGTTGTAGGGCGTTACTTTAATTACAAACTTCATTTCATTTTAATTAGAGCTTACATTAGTCTGTTAAAGAGATGTACAGGGGTTGGAAAAAAATATGGATACATTTCTATAAAAACTTTCTGTCAGCAATCTTATAAACAATTTACATTCTACATCTAAATCTCTGTAAATAATCTAAATTCACAAAGATTAAACAAATGGTTTAGTAAATGTATAAAGTGTTAATTTTGATTACAAACTTCACTTCTACACTAACTCTATGAAAACGATCTTGTAAACAGTCTACATTCTACATCTAAATCTCAGTAAGCAATTTACATTCACAAACATTACTTTTGATTACAATTTTTACTTAGTTTTACTTAGAACTTACATAAATTAGTTAAGAAATGTACAGGTGTTGGAAAACAATGTGGAAACACTTCTTTAAAAACTCTCTGTAAACAATCCTGTAAACAATTTATACTCTACATGTAAATCTCTGTAAATAATCTACATTAACGAACATTAGTTTCATGATTGTGTAGAGGGTTACTTTTTATTACAAACTTCACTTAGTTTTACTTAACACTTCTACACTAACTCGCTGTAACCAATCTTTTAAACAATCGACATTCTACATCTCTGTTAACAATATACATCCACAAGCATTACTTCTGATTACAAACTTCATTTAGTTTTACTTAGAACTTACATTAGTTTGTTAAGAGATGTACAGGGGTTGGAAAATATGGAAACACTTCTACACTAACTCTCTGTTAGCCATTTTTGTTTTAGTTGAAATTGTTTTGGCGATATTAATACTAGAAGAAGTCATTTAAATTCTTTCCTCATTTTGATCTTGCATGTCAAAAAGAACACCATTTATAAAAGCTTCTGGCATGATCTACCCAAAATATTGCCGATCGCAAACAAAATTGAATATTGGATGAAAGCTTGCAACTCAGTTGCAACCTAAATGCTAGATACTTACTAAAGATTCTTTCTTAGAAACGAGTTATCTGTTACATTTTGCAACTTTCATTAGGACTGAATTGTTAATGGCCTGAACAAATAAATTAAATTACATACACTAACGCATTTTGCATTGCTGCAAAATTAAGAAAATAAGGTTCGTAAACTAATTTGGGGACTATTTCTTAAGCTTTATTAGGATGAAATGAGTTGAATGAATAGATCTTTTGTACTAGATAATTGAAAATATTTATTCATTTTTTGTTTGTTTATTTTGTCCAGAAAAATAACATAATGAACATAATAACAAAGTGTCCAGTAAAAAACCCTGACATTAGAAAAAGTCGTTCGTAGATCAATTCATTCACAATCTTTCAATTTATTCGATATTTAAATTTCACTGTATCTCTTTCTTAGTTATATTCAGACTGTTATATTATTTCTTAGATATTTATAAAACAGTTTAAGAAACTATTAGTCTCAAGTACCTTTTTTAAAATACATTGTGATAAATTTTTTTGTAGTTTTGATTGCAACACATTTAACTATTAAAGCGTATATACCAGTGGTTCAAAATGAAACGTGACAATATTTTCATACAACGTAGATGGCAAATGTATGCATAAACAGACTATATTTTTTATTTCATTATATACAACTGTAGAATACAAATACTTTAAAAAAAGCATTTGTTTTAAAACTGGAAACCGTTATTCCGAATACAAAAGTAATAATCAAGTCTCTTGTTGTGAAAATAAATTAATAAGCTGAAATACGTTGACATATAAAAAATAGTGCATAACTCAATTGTTGTTATTGTTTACGAGTTCCGAAGCATTTTAACCCTCAAAATTATTTTTAAAATATAAATTATGCCAGGGACGTACAGTATCTTACAAACTTTTAGTGAAATTCTCAGTGAAAGGCAAAATTTAGAAGGTTTTACGATTTCCACAATCAAAAATTTAAATAACCTGTGATTTGTCTTCCTCAACCCATTAATAATACCAAAATACTATATTTGAATATAAAGAAGCTATTTTCGTGTTATTTTGTTTGGAAATCTTAAGTCGTAAAAAGGTGAACAAACACCAAAAAGGACAATTCGTTGTCTTCTTTCCATTTTGAATATTAAAAACTCATTCCTCGAACGGCATTAGGAACTGATTATGTAAGATTTCTTCCGTTTCAAAAAGTTCCTTCATTCTTATTCATTAATTCATGGGAAGCGACGGTTCGGCCTCGAAAACTCAATATATTCATACGTTGCCATATTAAGATTCAGGAGTATTTGTGGATTACTTGAAACTAAATCTAGCACCTGTGCTATTTTAGTCTAACAGAAAGATATTTTTAATGAGCTACCAGCGAGACGTAAGTGATTTTAATATAGCTATTGTTTAAAAAATACTGTGCAAATTCATTTAAAACTAATATAGCAACTTCATTTAAAACTAATATAGCAACTTCATTTAAAACTAATATAACTAATGATTTAAAATTAGTATTTTAATTGCTTTAAAATTTCCATTTTAATTTAATAAAACTTCACATTTTAATAGATTTAAAATTGATTTTTTGCTGACTTAAATGTGTTGCAATTAATTCCGAATTAATAATCTAATTGATATAGAAGTTACATTCAACAATTCGAAACTAAATCTAACACTTGAGCAATTTTAGTCTAACAGAAAGATATTTTTAATGAGCTACCAGCGAGACGTAAGTGTTTTTAATATAGCTATTGCTTAAAAATTACTATGCGAATTTATTTAAAATTATTATTGCAGTTTCATTTCAAACTAATACGCCTAAGGATTTAAAATTAGTATTTTAATTGCTTTAAAATTTCCATTTTAATTCAATAAAACTACATATTTTATTAGATTTAAAATTGATTTTTGGTTAACTTAAATTTGTTGCAGTTAATTCCGAATTAATAATCTAATTGATATAAAAGTTGCATTCAACAATTCGAAACTAAATCTAACACTTGTGCTATTTTTGTCTAACCGAAAGATATTTTTAATGAGTTTTCAGCTAGACGTAACTGCTTTTTATGAAGCTATGGTTTAAAAATTGCTATGTAAATTCATTTAAAATTAATATTGCAATTTCATTTCAAATTAATATACCTAATGATTTAAAACAAGTACTGAAATTGCTTTAAAAATGGTATTTTAATTGCTTTAAAATAAGTATTTTAATTGCTTTAAAATTAGTGTTTTTAATTGCTTTAAAATTTACATTTTAATTTAATAAAACTTCATATTTCAATAGATTTAAAATTGATTTTTGATTGACTTAAATTTATTTCAGTTAAATTTCAATTAGTAACCTAATTGATATAAATGTTGCATTCAACAAGTCAAAATTTAATCTAATATTTGCTTAATTTTCGGCCCACCATATATGTATTTTTAATGAGTTTCCAGACGTAAGTAGTAGATACGATATAAATTTAAAAAATTATTCTAGTAAAATATTGATCCATTGATTTAAAATTGCTCTAAAATGTCTGTTCAAATTTGTCAAAAATTAATATTCTAATTGGTTTTAAATTAATATTCTAATATTTAAAATTTATATTCTGTTTGATTTAAAAATAATACTCTAAATTTTAATATTAATATTCTAATTCCTAATTAATATTGTAATTGCGTTGAAATTAATATTTATATTGATTTAAAAGTAGTATTTTAATTGTTTTAAAATTTCCCTTTTAATTTAATTTAAGATCATATTTTAATGGATTTAAAATTAATTTTCGGTTGACTTAAATTTATTCTAGTTGATTCGAAATCAATAACCCAATTGTTATAAAAGTTGTAATCTACTACTCAAAACTAAATCTAACATTTGTGTTATTTCAATCTACAAGAAATATATTTTTAATGAGTTTCCAGCGTGACGTAAGTATTTTCTATACAGTTACAGCTCAAAAGTTGATAGGCAATTTTTTTCAATTAAAATTGTAATTCATTTGAAATATTGTAATGTTTAATATTGTAATAATAATATTGTAATAATTATTGTTATTGTTGTATTGTTAATATTGTTGTTTAATATTGTAATTTATTTAAAATTAACATTGTAATTTATTTAAATATATTATTGTATTGAATATTGTAATTCGTTTAAAATTGATATTCTTATTGATTTAAAATTAGTATTTTAATTGCTTTAAAATTTTCATCTTAATTTAATTAAACT